TTAACGCACATCGGCCTGTGTGAATGCTCATGAAATACTGACATGAAGAGAGTGAGAGCGAGAGGGAGAGGGAGAGAGAGAGAGTGAGGGGTAGGGCCAGAGGCGCAGAACAAAAAACTGGCAAAAAGGGCTAATCATTAATTTGCCTGTGAATAATATTGCGAATAAAATTGGAACAACGATCATGATATCTATCATTCAGTTTCACACGAGGCACAAACACACGAAAGCGTGGCAAAATGCTTAGGAATTTGGGGATAAAAATGTGATGAATGCTGGCGTGGAGGAGGAGACATTGAGCCGAAAGGGTGAGAGAAGGAATCACGTTTGGTGAACAGACAAAATTGATCATTTGCCAACAATTCAGGGTAGACAAAGGGAAATCATCGTCTCACAGAACAGAGAAGAGAAATAGTTGCACAAGAGAGTAGGCGTGCTAGTAACAAAAGAGACGTGAGAGGTATGAGTTGGCTAAAGATAATGGAGTGAAATTATGAAAAAAAGAGAATGAAAAGAGCCTCCGCAAGGGGTAGGATATAAGCATAATTGTAACGTATTATGCATATTTGTGTGTAGATATACAAGATAAAAAGGAAGAGAGAGAGAGAGAGAGAGAGAGCATGAGAATAAGAGAATAAGGGCGACAGGAAGGTAGACAATTGGACGGGTGAGTAGGCAGTATTAAAACAGTAGAATAACTGGTTGGTACCACCGGGAAGAAGGAATGACCTGGCGATCACCGTACCGTTTTGCGTTTTGCATTTTGCGTTTTGCGCCGATGCAAAGGGTCCCAGACGTGAGGAGACGCAGTCAAGTCATGTGAGCCTAGGAAACACACCTCCTTTTCTCCCTCAATCCCATGCGTCCGATGAGCCAGACGCTGGGGCCGACTGGGTAGCAGAGTGGGTGTGTGGACGGAACAAGTCGCCCACTGCGTTGAAGACCGGACAAGGGCAAACAGTGACTTGGGCCAATGGACCGAGGGTGTGGTGAGGCGAGAGGCTTTTCATAGAAAGGGTGAGGGATCTCGTAAATCGTGGTCCTATTCACACAAGAAAAGAACGAAAACTTCCACCTACAGAAAAGCGGGGTGGGGCAGAGTTGAATGCCGAGGGTTGACTAGCCTGCTGGGATGGAGGATGGTGATTCAAAGTGAAATGAAGACGTAAAAAATGGGCGATTAATGATACCCAGTCCGAAGCCGGCCGAGTTATCTGATCTGCCCCGCCTCTCGAGCCGTCTCGCCGGTTTGCCGAAAGAGATGGGAACAGATGGCTTCGTAGCCGACGAGGCAACACTTCACACAGACGCACATGTGCACACACCAACACACTCATTCGCGCAAATGCCCACAGACAAGACAATCACTCAGTGCCTCCGAGGGGGGCAGATCATGGGAGAGGCATAGGCAATCAGGTCCAACTGGTACCCGATGGATCCAGCCCGGCGGCAGCAACACCAAGACCCCATGTACACTGACTCGTAGACAGCCTCACGCCGGGACGAAAGTCCACATGAAATGCCACATGAAGCGTCACGTGAAGCACAACATGCGGTCGCCCAGACCGAATGAGTTGACCGATGAGCCGACTGCTTTACCCAAGTCCCACTGACGACAGTCAACAAAGCTATGAAGCGAAAATGGGTTTGGGAAAATTCTTTGAGAATTTCATTTTTTTTCACACCTTTCATTTCGTTTAGAAAGTCGGCTAGTGAGCATCTGTAAATTAGCCTTGTCAGAAACTAAGTGGATAATCGCCTTCGAGCAGTAGCAACAGAAAAATTTCTGCGTAAGATCCGAAGATCGACAAGTCAACGCCTCAATTTGGCTGAAAGGGTGCTGTAAAAGAGGATGTGTACAGCATGCCTTAAAGAAAGAAGATTGTTCGACTAGTCAGTACAAGACTCCGCGACCACTTTTAATATCTTTTTCCTCTTTTCAACATGTTCACCCATCTTCGGCTTACCTACTTCTTTTGGGGTAGTCATAGTAGCATACTTTATTTATCCACTTTTCTTCCGTTATTGGTTTCAGCGTGTAATTACTAAGAGGTGGTAAGGGTGGTTTGACCTCGTTTTCGTAACTTGACCATGTTGTCATAGCGACCTAGGTTGACTAAAGATCTAATTCAATATTTGCCGATATTCA